TACAAGACAGGTGGATTGAAATACAGCTACAAGCAACCTTGAGTGGCTTTTTTTAAGTGCTTGAAAGAATCTCAAAGAATAAATTTTCTTTACCACAAAATTTCAGAGCCAAGTTTTCTGTTATACTGAGCATTCAAAGAAGGTGGTCGCTTCTGCAAACCTCTTTGGAAAGTACAGAATCTTTTACATTTAACATTGAAATGTCCCCCTGGTGAAGGGGTCAAGCAAATCCATAGTGAGAAGTTGTTTGTTCTCAGAGCATTATCAACTCAGAAAAATGTCCAGAACAAATATAATTTATCAAAGGTAGAAAAAATAATTGTCAACATCTTTATTTTCACAAAATAACCCATTAAAGAAGAATTAGTGGCTGAAGACTTGCTTTTCACCAGCTATTCTCTTTGGGCATTGGGCCTGACTTTCTTAAGCCCTAAGAAGAGTGGAACTTTAAAACGTGCCCTGATTTCTTCATTTTTTTCTGGTTTTGGCTTTTGCTTGTGGCAAGCTGCTAGCTGGAAAGAGGAGATAAATCGATAAGGTTTCCAGTTAGGGGATGATTATGCAGGACCATGCAGTTCTGACCATCCTTTTATCTCCATCCACTACGTACAAATGTAGTTCAACTTATTTAACGCTTCTGCAAGGAAAAGGAAGCCAGTGAGCCTGGTTTTTGAGTATCACCAAATCAGACTCGTTAAGGTGGGAAGGCACTTCTGGAGTCCATCTAGCCCAGTTGCCCCTGCTCAAACAGAGCCACCTAGAGTCAAATTGTCCAGGACCCTGTCCAGGCACCTTTTGAATATCTCCAAAGTATAAGACTTGCTCTTGGCAGAAGTGTTGGTAAATATGCCATTATAACTGCTCTGCAGAGGTCAACATAACCAAGTACTTGAAGCCAATATTGTTGCTAATAGACTTTTAATAAGCAAGTGTTATATCAACATATGAGTGACATTTTTGCCAGGACAAAAAAGGAGGAACACCAAAGGACAGCTGTTTACACATGGACCTCAGGTTTAGCATGATATCCAATTGCCTAAAACTGCCTCCCCACTCCAAAACCAAGAACCCAATGGACTTTCTAAGAGCCTTCTTCTGTTCCCAATTTTAAAATAAGTAAATAGATAGAACCCTTACCACAAAATACAAAATCAGCATTTAAGGTTAAGTGTATCACTCAGCCTCTTCAACACAGTCAAGAGAACATTTTCTCCCAGTGACAACTGTCCTTCCCATATATCCCTTATGTTACCACTAGGCACACATGTACAGATACAGAAATTTAATCTGCTTTTCATTTTCTGGTTATGAAGCAGATCTTGACTCACAAAGCCTACTTGCAGGATAAACCAATGCAGGACCAACAGGAAAAAAATCTTTCATTTAAAAACTCTGAGCTAGAAGTTGACTTCCAAGGTATTACACTGCTGTCCTACACAATGAATGTGGAAGTTATTGGGATGAGATGTAAACCAATCTTGATAACCCCTGATTTTTTTTTTCACCAGAACACAGATATTCAAGTTACTGATATGCATTATAGGCTGTTTTTTTTAAGTTACACAAGTTTTTGTCTCAAAAGTTTAAAACCTTCATATGCCCTCAAAGTTTCTCATGAATTTCAGAACTGAACTACTTTGAGACCCTTTGTTGTAAATAACTTTTTATAATCTGACTACATCTGCACAACTAGAGAGTCTCTGCAGTACAAATAAGTGCACACTTTAAAAAAACAAAGGGATAGAAGCGTAACACAGGAGAACTGGATCTTGCATGCTATCAGGTTGTTAGGGCTTAACAACAGGAGCTGGGCCAAAGCACTCAGTGCATAGCTAAGCACTTCATTACCATGATGATGTTCTTACTTAAGTCCGTGCAAATTCAGGCAGGCCCGTTCCCACCCTTTTTTATCTAAAAGCCAGGACAGCAGAGGAGAATTTCCTCTACTAGACAATACCTCCTGGTTAATCTCTCTCACACCTATGCATAACTTCTGTTCTTCCATCTCTGCAAAGTCACACCCTCCCACCTGTCCCTGCCGTCCCCAGACAGCAAAGCTAAACATCTCGGATAAACTAGGGGAAAAAAAAATAACAAAAAAGCCTCCTCATGCACGTTGGTGCAGTCTGGGGTTTCCTTCTATTAGGCAAACACACATTCAACTCAGTAATAAAATTGCTCTCCAAGGAGGACTTTGGGAGTAGGGTTGCGAAAAAGCTGCAGCTTAGCGCTCAGTTCTGGACTAACTTCATTAATTAAAGAGAACATGATGTAGACAATACTCTTGGAACACCCTTCTTTTTGCTACAGTAGCAGAGCGAATACAGCGCAGCCTCATTTTTACCCGCCCATTAACTCACTGTCCTTGATCAAAGACTATGTATACTGCCTATCCTGTTCAGAGCAGTTAAGGCTTAGAATTTAAATTGTAAACCTCAATATTTAAATAGAACTGCATATGTGATCTCTGTCACCTCATTTTCATGAATGGAAAAGAATATTCTGACACCAAAATTACATACTTAATTCTGCCTCACCTTCTTCACTGACCTCCATCCCACACCGCCTTGGGTTTATTTCCTCATCCATCAGCGGGTCAAAGTAATTTCTGCTGTATTCATTTCCTGTGGAAAGCACATGAAGTAAGGGTCAGCGATTATTAGAAGCACATGAACTAAAATGTTAATTTTGAAATCGACACCAGCAAGCAAAGGGGCATTTTTTGCTACTTTACAAGCTTAATTTTTTTAACAAGTCCTCTAAGCCTACTGGTACTGCAATTATCTTCTTGTGAAAGGTCAGAAAAGGTAATTCTGGAAACAAGTGCACTTTATGTTACTTTTGCTCAGGAACTAATGAGAAAAAATTCTCAAATTTAGATGATGGAAAGATAAGAAAAATTTTTAAAAAATCCAGCACCCCCAACATAAGCCAAATTATTCTTGAAACACATTGTACAAGTGAATTATCCATACCGCAGAGGAATTTGTGTTTCACAGCTGACCCCTCCAGTTTCAACAGTTTTAAATTTCACCACTGAGGTTTCAACGTCTGGTGCATCTTTAATACTGTATTCAACCAGAGAAGTGTTTAATTACAGAGGAGATACTAGGATACTGCCTCATTAATCTGAACTGCAATTATGCTCAGTTGGACTAGGTAACTAATCCAAGATTTTGATGGGGCAAATCAAATCATGTTAGCACTTTCTATTTTAACAGCTCATTTTATCTGCTCTTTAGAAAATAAACAAGTTTACAAAAAAAGTCATTTGTTAGAATTATCAAGAAATAATGCAGCATCTAGCTGCCTAGAGGAACTCATGATAAAAGCCAGAATTTTCCTTATACAAGGAGGGAGGATGGACTTTTTCCTCAAAGTATGTTCTTTCTTCAGTAAAAATGCTACACTATTAAAACCATCCACATGTTTACTGCGTTTGCAAACACAGTAAATGATAATTAAACAGAAAAAAAGATGTAAAATAATTATGTCCATAACAAATTTTTAAATCGCTTGAATTGACACTGATCTATATCCTGACAAATACATAAAAGCTAAATGTGTGAGGGGGTTAATTCATCCTAGATACCCTATGGTTGTCTACAGTGTATTTGTTTTAGGATCAAAAATAATCCAAGCAGCAGCTCCTTTTCAGAGACTAAATGAAACTTTGATATGAAACTAGGTTTAATTTATATTTCTGCACTGGCACATTTTGACTGTCAGTCTCTGTTCCTTCAATGTAGTAAGTACAAGAACTGAAAATTTGCTTTACCTTGAGGTCTCAATAAAGAAAAAATAAATGAGTTTCATTTTTGTTACTTTATCTGTCAACAACTACTAGGCTGGTATGAATCTTGGCAGTATGTAATCAAAGTCTTATGTACTGCAATAACAGAGCTATTCTACCTTATTCACTGTAATTGTTTTTCTCTAGCACAAAGCATGGTGATGTTATATGAACACCCCTTCATATGCTGGTAAAATATTTCACCTATGTGCTAAAAAAGATAATGATGATCCATTTCTTTATTCAATTACTTCATAGATGTAAATGTAAATTGCTGGAAAGTGTGTTGCACCCATAGAAACAATACTCAGCTCTTGCGTAGTTTTTTTGCACAATCTTACCATCACAACGGCTTTTATTGGATTTTAATATCCCATGTGAGTCTGGTGTGAAACTTTGAGGACTAGACTTTTGGACAACTCCTCTGGACAGAATAATTGGCATTTAGGAGGAAGTGTCACGTTATATTTGAGGCTGCAAGGCATGGAAACCATTATTCAAAACAGAGATATGTTGACAAATACCATTAAATAGTTTGCTCTTTGGTCTTCTTTAAAGAAAAAACAACCTCAACAGTTTGAGGAGTATGAGATATTTTGTCCAGGGCTTTGGCTCTGTCAGAACCACATGCAGTTGAATACAGACAGTTATGTAAAAGTAAAAAGAACCACCAGGCTTGATTTCTTCAGTGCAACGTACACACCTTAAAACCTACACAACCAGAATGAGTGGAAAACACAAAAATCACCTCTTCATAGTGATTTTGTAGATAGCAAGCTATTTTAAACTGCAGGACTCCACAGAAGACTTTTAATGAGGCTTTCAGAAGAGCTGAAATCACTGCAAACCTTAGGTCATATCTCTGTGTGTGTGAGGGGGGTGCCATTTGTGGTGGTTTTGGTCTTTTTCCCCCTCAGCTCAACTCACATCTTGAAAACTGGTGTGACCAGGAGGTCCGGGCTCTGGGCAGGTCCTAAAATTTGTCAGGGGCAGTGGGAGTTGCTTTAGTTTTAAAATACAAAATTATCAATTTTAGTCAACATAACATACTGCCCAAGGCATTTTGCTAATAACATTTTGTGAGCATGTGAACGGATTACTAATCATTTCACATTTGCTTTCGGAAATATTTGAAAGTGTATAACATGTAAATTAACAGTCCACTAAGGAATTCATATTGCTCTACTTTGTGGTATAGACACAGTAAATGTTAGTACAGAGCTTGCTTGTAGGTATTTTGAACAGCAGCATATAGCTTGGTGTTTTCAGAGAGCAAGTTACTTTGAATACCTGCTCCTAAAAAGACTTGGCCAACTTTAGAAACTTAGGTCTTTGTTTTGACCCAGAGGTTTCCTCAAACCCATTAATTCAATTTGAGGTCTCATTCATCCCTCAAAGTTGTGTTATTTCATGTGGAAAATGTGATGGATCATTCAGGAAATCAGAATTGATGTATAAAACTACGGATTATCTATAAATTGAAATAAAAAAGGAAAGAAGGGTGTTGGCACAACAGTGACCAGGTGGGAATTTATACAGTTTAATTAAAGCAAGAGGAGTTGCTAATAAAATTAGCATAATCCTTGGATGCAGCCCATGGGATTGTATACATATTACTAGGACTGGATGAAACTTAAAAGATGCCTGTTAAACTAAGATGTCTGTAGTCAATTATGCAGTCTATGTCCCGAGAATACCACACCAAAAAGGCATGACTAAGCTGCATTTCTACATCATCTTCTACTCCCCAAGGAGATCAGGTTGTCTGTATCAATTACACATCAAAGATATAGCATGGCATTTGAATAAAAGGCAACTATTCTATTCATATTGTACTATTGATTTAGTTTTTTAGTTTAATGAAAGAATAGACAAAACTCTATTTCATCTGTTAAGTGTCTCCTGACCAGTGTAAAAATTAAGGAATTATTAATAGCCAGGTGACTGATTACTAAAAGCTTGAATAAGCAATAATACTGGTGCCTGTTTTCAGAGTGATGCTGGATCTTCAAGGTAAAAGAAAAAAAATTTGGCATGAGCCATCTTTCTTTAGAAGACAGTATGCAGATTATGGTCTGTGCAAACTTACCTTGCTATGTAATAAGTCCCTTTTCAGACAGCAGCATGGTCAACACATCTACCAGTGACTTGATAGAACCTTTCCGGGCATTACTAAGGTGTGGCAAGTTGACCTTGGCTCAGTGCCAGGTACCCACCCAGCCACTCTTATCACTCCCCTTCCCAGCCGGACAGGGGAGAAAGGAAGATGGAAAACAACTCATGAGTTGGGATAAGGCAGTTTATTAAAGCAGAAGCTAGATGAAAGCTTGCACGCACAAAAGCAAATCAAAAGATAACATGGTTTGTTCTCTACTTCCCATCAGCAGTGATGATTGGCCACTTCCAAGAAGCAGGACTTCAGCACGCGTAATGGTTCCTCAGCTGGCAGCCATTGGAGACAATGAATGCCTGCCTTCCTGCTCCTTGCCATAGCTTTTATATCTGAGCTGATGTCATACAGTATGGAATATCCTCTTGGTCAGTTTGGGTCAGGTGGCCTACTTGTGTCCCCTCCCAGGATTTTGCCCTTAACTGGGGGGAGGAATGTTACAGTGTTGGTGCTGTGCTCAGCAGTAGCCAAAACACGGTGTGTTATCAACACCCTTCTAGCTGCCAATGCAAAGCACAGCACTGTGAGGTCTACTATGAGGAAACGAACTCAAGCTCAGCCAGAGCCAATACATAAGGCAACTCATAAAAGCCTTTTGCATAAGATAGAATAAGACAGAGGCATTTTGGAAAGATGAAATCCCAGTCTGAGAGAGCATTCTGACACAAAGTGCTCTTGGAAGAGCAGCTGGACATGGAAAAGTGTAGTTCTCCTTTCCCAAACCTCTCTTAAAGCATTGATTTCAACAGGAATCCCTGTTAAGGAACTCACTCATTCAACAGAAATGAACTTAGTTCCCTAGGAATACTTCTCATTTTACTTAACAGATATGGCCCTTTGGGCAGATCAAACTTAAGGTTCTGTGTTGCCATATTTCTGGGTTTCTTTATGACAGCCAAAGCAGCATCCTGGGGTCAGACTTGGATCCCATCTAAGAGAGGTGCACACTTCAATTTGGCCAGCAAGAACTAAGACTTGGGACCAAAAGAAAGGGAATACAACGGTCCGACCTCCTGCATTTCCAACAACTTCACTTACCTTCCCTCATGGTGGGTCACGTGACTAGCACTCCCACTCACCTATTTTCATGATTCAGTACCTACACTGATAAAGTTTGATATCTGCAAGTTTCTTCTTTATAGATGTAGGCCTTTGCTTCTATTCTGTACTTTGAAAAACATCTCTGAAGAACCTTAAAAAATTCATTCAAAAGAATTCTAGAATAAGAGAGGGAAAAGAAGCCTTTCACCTTAAAAAATCTCACAGAATGCACAAGTAAAGAGAAACAAAAATCATCAACCAAAACTGCATAAATAGTGAGAGTTCATGGACAGTGAAAAACTGATTTGGTTTCCAGTGAGTTTATAGGTTCTTACTTCATTTGAACAATGATTTAAAAGTGTAAAATAATGTAGGAAAGTTTGAAACTTTCACAAAAAAAAATATGACTTTTTATTCCAAATTTTTTTGTTGCTAGATTTACTTAGACCTAAAGGTTATGAAGATGTTAAAAATAAAACTATAGTCGTATAGTGAATTGATACATAATCTATAAAACAATGTTAGGTCTCCAGTCTCATCTTGGCAAGGAAAAAAAAAGGATTATTGTGAGCTAACCAGAAGTTATACTTTTAGTTTGGGTTTTTAATTGTCCTTACTGA